ACTACGCCACTGTATTCTACGTAAAAAGTTCTACAATAAAGAGTTTTTACCTTCTTGATAGCTTTAATAATAACAGAGATACCGGGGGTGACCCAAATTGCGAAATTTTCAAAAAGACCCTGTAGCTCAGAAACGAAGAGGGCTATGAAAATTTAGTTGACAGCATCTTCCGTTTGATCAAAAAGTGGGACAGATTTGTGAAAACCGCACCCTTCTATCTTCACTAATAACGGAGATACCGTATGATTTCAACTAAAATGGGACACCCTGTACTGGGTGTTCAATTTTTGTGTGTTTTATGGGTTTTTCCGTTTTTGAGTAGAGATATAAAGATGCGCTTTTCACATCGCTCTGCTACTTTTTTATAAAACTAAAGATTCTACACACAGATATGTCTGAGCCTTGTTAGTTCCTGAAATACAGGGTGAATTTGAAAATGTTGCATTTTTCGACCTCCTATGTATCTTGGCTATCTCCTAACTTATCGAAAAGATGAAGAAGTTAGAGTCTTTCACGTAGAATCCAGTGGCATAATTAGATTTTCGCTGAGATCTGCCGTTTCCGAAGTAAGACTCAAACTTATGTTTCCTTAAATCCTGTATATTATTTTTTATGATTAATAGAATTATTACAAGACATAATTATATAAAATTTTATGCTCTATTATCTCTAGGGAGTAATTTTATTCACGAATAAATAAACTAACTCTTGAATTTACTTTAACTAACGCAAATAAAAGAAAATTAAAAATTTAATAAGCGTTTATTAAATTTTTTATGGTAATTTTAAGCTAGAGACGGACTAATTCAAACAAACCGACTGCAGTAGAGGCAATTAAATTCGCTCTAAAGCCACTCAAGCTCTATCTATCTGCGTTGCCAGACGTGAAAAACGCATTTTTTTCTTTTCTGCAATCTTCTAGGAGCATTGCCCACGAAACAGAAAAAAATAAAAATATCTGTTTTATGCAAAGTTTTCTTTGACTGTTTGGTGGATTAAGTAAGTCATCTGATTAACTTTTTATTATTAATAACACTTTTGCCAACTATTTTTGTATTTAGTTTATTTACTGTTTACGGCTCGAATTCGCCGCTCATCATTGGGATTTCGGAAACCGTAAGAGATATAGGATCGGTTAAATGGAGGCAAAGTTGCGCAATTTGATGATCCATGATCCGGCGTTGAAATGCCGTATTGCATTTCGAAAAATTCCGAATACTTCCGAATATATTCGAAAAAAAACCGGAATTTTCAATTTTGTTTTCTATTGTTTCCTGGCTTTATGTGATAAGATAACTTAAAATGAAAAACACATTTTCATGGCCACTTTTTCTGATCTATAACTCTGTGTGATTAAATATTGACTCTGACGTTTCGGCTTCTGGCGAACATCATCAACTTAATTTTTTTAAATACGGACCTGATTTTTTTTTAATTTAATTAAATCCTTTCATCACTCCTAAAACACTATATATAGTCACTTTGATATAGTCTGTAAAACGAATAACTTGCGGCAATGCTGACGCAATGCCGTCTCTAATAGAACAGTCTCAGAGCGAGATTTATGACGTCACGCTAGTTAAATACTACGGATTAATAAATATGTTGTAGAATACATGGAAAATATAATTATTCCTCGTATTTTTGGTTTGTATTTTAAAAATGATATAGTTTACATGAAATATACATAATATACAGTTAATAAATACAATATATATATACCTATTTATAGTAATAAATACTTTGGCAGATAAACTATGAACAATACAAATGCAGCAAATATTTTACAATATGGCTGAAATCGTACTCCATAGTCAATGTAGATAGTTTTTGTGTTAAGAATAATAATTTAAAAAAATATGTGGTCTTCTTTTGACAAGTTTATATTAGTTTATTAATTGCAGTAAACATTATACTATATAAATAAATTTTGTGAATGCAAATAATAATACATCACTATTAGTAGATATTGAATGTTTTTTGTTAAATTAGATCGATTTTCAAACCCCAAAATTTAAAATATACTTTACATTTTACCCATTATCTTATGTACTACCTATTCATTATTTGTATATTGTAAAACATTTGCTGCATTTGTATGGTTCATAGTTTATTTGCCAAAGTATTTATTACAATAAATAGGTATATATTATATTGTATTTATTAACTGTGTATTATGTATATTTCATGTAAACTATATCATTTTTAAAATACAAACCAAAAATACGAGGAATAATTATGTTTTCCATGTATTCTACAACATATTTATTAATCCGTAGTATCTAACTAGCGTGACGTCATAAATCTCGCCCGTGGCTGTTCTATTAGAGACGGCATTGGTCTAATATTTAGAAATGTCAAAAGCTGATGACATTTTACTTTTGTCAATTATGACATTTCGTGTTGATTTTTGCAACAAGAGGAAGAACTGTCACTTGTTTTATTATTTTCCTTTCTATTTCACGAAAGTAAAAAGAGTTACCTACCTGATTCGTTCAGGCACTCAATTTAAAGAATATCAGTAACTTTTTTGATAGAGGGATTTTATATTTGTCATGTTGGTAAAAAATAACGGTCAAAATTCAAAGTTATTCATTTTATAGACTATATTTGCCGACGTTTCGTACAGAAAATTCCATCACCAGAATATTTTATGCAAGAAAAATAAAAAATAAAAATGCAATACGACATTTTGTTGAGCATCAAATTGCGCAACTTTGCCTCCATTTAACCGATCCTGTATCACTTACGGTTTCCGAAATCCCAATGATGAGCGTCGAATTCGAGCCACCCTGTACATTAGTAAATAGAAGAATTATAAATGTAGATGGAGAATATCTTAACTATCTAAGATTCGCTGATGACATAGTCTAAAGAACTACAAGTACAAATTAACGAACTAAATACGACCAGCAATAAAATAGGACTGTAAATAAATTTAACAAAAAACTAAAGTAATGTACAACGAATTAGTAGACAGAATAGACATTCTAATAAATAACACAAAACTGGAAATAATAGAAGAACCAAAAAAGTAAATATCAACATACCTTAAGTTAAATAATGTCTACACCTGTATGGAAGATTCATTTCTTGAAAATACTTCCGAATTTTTCGTCATTAGAAAAAATTCTACAAAATAAAAAACTTATTTTTTGTAAATACTAGTAGTGGGAACTATCGAATAAATACTATCGAAACATTCGATAGTTGCAATTCATTCGAATAATTCGATAGTTAGTAAGAAAACATTCGTTGAAAACTATTCGAATAAAAATTATCGAATAGATCCGTCATCTGCCTTGAAATATTGTATTCTAGTAATTCGGCAGCAAAAACCATTCATTTATAAAATTCATTCATTTATTCGTCAGGATCGATTATAATAAAATATTAACTGAATTTTAGTTGTCGCCCGGCGACGTAGGTTTTCTTTCGAGGAACCCGACAGCGGTCGGTGGCTATGAAAGAAGCCGGCATCTTTGATTTTGCGGAGTCAGATATAGATAAGGACACATTATTTTTTTTATTGAGGTGCTAGTATTTACACAGAAAATACATTATGAAGGGCGCTGTTGCCATATTTTGGTATTAGTTGATATTAGCACAGAATATTATTGTTTGGCTTTAGTTAGTTAGGAATAGTATGTCTATATATTCTGCATTTTTTTTTATTAATATTCTGTTGTTACACTGCAATAATACTTGTTATTTTGGATGTAGGAAAATTATTTTTAATGTTTTTAGGCAAAGACTGGTTTAATAAATAATAATAACAGTAATAATTTGTTATACCTATTAACAACAAAATTTAAAATCATTTAATATAAATATTTTTTTTAAGTAGTAGCAAAATATAAACAACAAGATGTCAAAATTATTTATATTAGATCCTATTTAAAAATAATATAGTCTCTAAATTTTTTGTGTGTGGCAACGTTGGTTTATTAAATAATAATAATTACAGAACTAATTTGTTATATTAACAACAAATTTTAAAATCATGAAATATAAACATTTATTAATTTTCTAAGCATGCAGTGTAATGGAAGGAAAATATAAATAAAAAAAATTAGAAATCAAAATTATTTATATTAGGTGCTTTATATTACTATTTAAAAATTATATTTACTTTTACTGGCATTTACTTTAAAAACAAATGAAATATTTCTTCGCAAAAACTACATGTAAGAGAATTAGCATAAACAAAATACAAACATCGTTAACTTTTTTTAAATTGGCACGTGTAAAACTTTCATTTTAATTTTCTCACCCCATAGTTTGAGTTCGATAACCGCATTTACTTAACCACATTACTCAATATGATTATTAAGTTCAACTAATTCATATTATTAAACATCTAAAAATACAAATATGTATTTTTAAAATTAATTGTAAGTTCATCTCATCTCTCTTAAAAATTGCTACTTCTCAAAATTTCCCATTAAAAAATAGACCATATACCATATAAAATTAAATAATTGAAAGATCGCACTACGGAAAACCACACAATTTTTTTTTTCATTTATTTTAACTATTTTAATAAACGCAAAAATAGCACAGTATTTATACGGCGAAGTTATAAAAATTTGGAAGAACTAATAATGCACTGACGCATACAAAAATCAAACGAATACTAAATTTCATTTATCAAAAGCATTCGATAGTCGTGGCTCAACGATAACCATTTAGTCGCACGGCGAGGTTGTCACATATGCTTTAGTATACAAATGAATGAATGATTTTATTCGAATAAAACCATTCGATAGTTGAAATCATTCATTCATTAACCATTCGATAGTCTAATTCATTCGATAGTTCCCATCGCTAGTAAATACCACTGCGTTGATCCGACAGAGACCAATCTGTCAGTGGTATTCTAACCTATATTTCATTAATAACTGTTGATATGTTCTGAGGTAAAACTTAAATATGAAGAAGAATATACGTTTTTTTCTCGTTTTCAACGTTTTTCTCAACAATTTTTCTTTTTGTTCCAGCTCAAGGTTCAGGAGGCTCTAAGAAAAAGGGAGAAGTTTGCGAAGGAACACGAAGAGGTAAGAACTGAAGACCAACAAGTAGTTTTTTCCTTTAAAAAGAAACGTGACGTTAAGAGTTTGGTGCGAAAAAAGATTCCCTCTGTCTTGTACAGTTTTAAAGCATCTGGAACTGAAAAAAATAAATAATGGAAACAATGTTTCTCGAATTTTTAGCGTTTAATATTCTTTTTCAATAAACATTTCAGTGTCAATTGTATATTTTGGGCGTATTAATTATACAAGGTGTTTTAAATCTAGAACGAATAACTTTAAATGGTGATGATGGTGAGTAGTGAAATTTTATTGGAGTATTACTACCATGGCACTTTCTGTAAACAGGGTGTTTCAAAAAACATGTCCTCATGTAAAAATAAGGTTTATTTTTCATATGAATAAAGGTCCGATTCTGCTTTGTTTCGTAGCTACAGGGTGTTAAAGTCTTATTATATTTTCGATTTACTGCTGAAAAAATGTCGATAAATTCATAAGGGACGTGCATACGTGTTGTCACTGGAATATTTTTCAAGAAAAAAACATGTGCGGCACTGACTTTTTTCTTTTAATATAAAAATTGTGTAAGCAGTTTAATGCCAATTAAAAGTGATCTCTTGATATTTTGTCAAATTCGGCCTCCTCGATGAGATAAACGCAATTTTATTAATCACAATTAATCAAATAAAAATAAAATCAACAAATCATATATTTTACCTAATTTATTTATTATTAAATATTATTACTATTAGTCTAATCTACAGCAATTTCAAATTAAAAATAATGATATTTAAGATAATTACAAAAAAAATAATTTTAAAAAGTTTTTACCATCCTATAACTCTAAAACTATGTGATTCCATACCAAGTTTATAGGAACTTTTTTTTCATATTTTTTGATGAGGACTTAATAATTACTTATTTAAACTTTCACAAGTTAATGATTTTGAATTTTTTAAAGGTTGCTATTAGACTTGGATCAAGGCAAATTAATAAAATTGCGTTTATCTCATCAAGGAGGCCGAAATCGACAAAATATCAAGGGACAACAACAATATCAATCGGCATGAAATTGCTTACAATATTTCGCTAGCAAGAAAAAAAAGTCAGTGGCGTACATGCTTTTTTTGTAGAAAAATGTTCCAGTGATAACCCATGTGCACGTCCCTTGTGAATATGTCGACACTTTTTTAGCTTTAAAATGTGTTGCATTTATAGTAACTTTTACCCTCAAAATATAATTCGAAACGCTACCAGTACTTCGAAGAAAATTATAATAAATCTGAAGAAAATTAAAACTTTAACCTCCTTTAGCTACCAAACAAAGCAGAATCGGACCTATGTTGATATGAAAAATAAATCTTATTTTTACGTGAGGAATCTCCCCACGAAAAATGGCACATGTTTTTTTAAATACCTGTATATGACTATAATATTTCCAAAAAATTCTGATTTTTCAAAAAATTACCGGTCGATAGTTCAACATCGACAGTGAATCACCCTGTAAGTCTTCAAATTATAATTTCTTATTCTTTTTCGTATCTACTAACTATTTCCATCTTCGTTCATACTGAAAAAAAGTAGAGGAAAACTAAGAAAAACGGTGAAGGAGAAAATAGAAAATGGAGCGAAGAGGAGATGTGGAAAATTTACGATCCAAACAGGCAATTGCAATTATTCCAACTCGCCGTTTTTCACCTAAATAAATAACCGGCCCGCGTCGGCGTCGGTTTGTTTTATTTGAATAAAATTCAGCCGTTCCTTTGGTTTTATGGCTGCCAGCGCCACCGCGGATCGCTGCCACAACTAAAACACCAGGCTTTCTTTGAAAGTGGTAGACTATAGGAATTATATTACCGGTTTATCAATTTATCGGTTTACCAATTTACCGGTTAAATATCTAAAAAATCTGTAAAATATTACCGGTAAATCGTCTTCAAATACTTGTTAATTCGGATGCTTGTCAAATACTCGTCAGCGAGTAATGACAGTAGTAGTAGTAATACGTTTCAAAACATGTATTTTTTGAACTTGTATTTTTTACCACCTAATTCTGCAATAATGACCTCTGTGCGCCGGTATAGCGACTGAAAATCCTGTTTATCTGTAATATTCCACGGAGTTTAGAATATCATTTTACTGAGGAAGGTATAAATTATTAAAATATTTTTTTTCAGATATTAAGAGACATAAAACAGGGTTTACTACAATTAGGAAAAGAAGGTATACGAGGGCCTCTAACATCTGCAGGTAAATGCTAAAATTAGTTTATAATAATTATCTTAGAAAATTACATTGCAATTTATGAATAAAACCATAACATAAAAAGTGATAAAATTTCATCAATCTAGCTATAATATTTTATTTAATTTTTCTCTGTACTTTTAGATGACACGTATATGTACGACGATGACGTCAGGATGCTGGCGCCATCTTGTATGCCCCACCCTCATGATCCTCGTTTGGGACACTGGTACGACGAACCGCCCTACGAAAGCGATCCAGAAGATTTTTTAATGGGAGGGAGAGGGGGACCACAAGCTACGATACAGGTATAATTTTTTCTGTTGATACTATTTTTCTAATTTCAATAGAAAACTGTTGAGCTGATTTAGTACTACCTACTTTAGTAGAATTATTTTTGTGTTTCATATTAATTTAAATAAAAAATTAAGAAAGGAGAACCGTAGTAGCAAGAATTATGTTTGATATAATCTTTCTTCTATTCATCATTTAATATTTACTTTACTACTATATTTTATTAAATTATCTCAAATTTTTATGTTAGTCCACAGAAAATGTTCGATTCAATTACAATTTTAGATCTTACAATTCTTAATTTGTTTGGACTTTCCTGGTAATATTTAATTGTAAAATATACTACTGATCATTCTTGTCTGCAGAAATTACTTGATGTTGAATATTACTTTATATTTAAAATTTTTGGCATTTAAGTGTATTCTCAAACAACAAATATAGTATAGAAACAACAAAAAAAGCAAACATTTAATAGTAAAGATACAATTTTGCAGATTTTACTAACTTATTCTTCTGTTTTGCGAACAAATAGATTAGTTATTAGTTATAGAGTTTCTGCTACCAATCATATCTCAGTGTTTCTTGTAACTGACGCCTTATCGAAAACTGATCCTAAATTTTTTACGCGGAATCTATTGTCTTAGTGTTTTTTATTATTGTTATGGATGAAATGTTAGCCAATGTTTCTAAAAACTTAGCTATAAAGGCAAATAGTTTTCCTGTCAACATACCCCACCCGGCATACCACTCCAAACTTTTCATTATTTACTTTAAAAATTAATGGTTTTCAGAACGGAAGAGTTTGCTTCACGCTGAACGTTCGACCAGACCAAAAAAGTGGAGAGGGAGTTATATCTCTACGTACTGCAGGAGATATTTCCCTTCCTACAGCTCACTGTCAGACACCTAGAAGAGGTCTGATTTTACCCAGGGAAGCTGGGTATCCACCCACAATCATACCATTAAGGTAAGGAATATTGCTGTCATACCACCTAATAAATACCTAATAAACGAAAAAAATCAAATTTATGTTTTTTTTAAACAGGGTGAGTCTTAAGTAAGTGCAAATATTTTAGGGATGGTATATTTTGACCCCAGAAACACGTCTATGAGCTTTTTTTCGCAAAAAGTGATATTGAAAATCGTGTATTTATTTTTTTAATTTTCCTGCATACTTTAGAGAACTTTTTAGAACTGTGGTTATTACCATGGTTACGGCTTTACTCTATGGTTACGACATAAAAAGGGATGCAAATACAGAGAAAATCCGGTGGCTCTCAAATTTGTTTAAAATTAAATCAGTTTTCTAAAAAAATCAAACTTGAATAATTCGGTTATTTTGTATTTATTTGAAAAACGGTAAAGACAAAATGTGTTTCTTTTATCGAGATCTACCACCCCGGAAATTATTTGCGCTTATTTAAGGCACATCCTCTATAGTATCTAGTATTGTACAGGGTGGTCGGAGTTGGTCTATTTTTAACAGGGAAACCCTATTTCCTGACTAGATAGAGCAAAACCGACATAAATGTCATGGGCTCGATTTCTGAGAAACGTTTAAGGGCCTAAACCGCCTGTTCATATTTTCACTGCCAACCGAGATACGGAGTCTTTTTGAATTTTTTACCATTTGGAAAATTGCCCATAACTTTTGTATTTTTTAGAATTTTTTTTTTAGAATTTTTTTTTTCCCGGAATAATAAAATTCAGTAAAAACGTTCTTAAGGCACTTTTTTAAGCACAATCCAGTGGCGTAGACAGTTTTTTCTATACTTGCTTTTTTAGTCAGAAATAGTAAAAAATATAATTTTTTAAATGGAAATCATAGTTGACTATGAACTTAAAAAGATGCTGGCGTTTAATGCTTTCCAACGATATAAAGTTATGTGTATTTATTTCTAAAAATGAGAGAAATATTACGTTTTTTATCTTTGTATCGAAGCGGGTCTTGATTTTGTGTTGACCTATAGTTGCCTAATTATTTTTTATCACAATTTAATATTCCATATCATTATTTATTTGCATAATTAAAGACTTTTGAAAAGGTAAATCAACATTCTATATTAGTATTACCATTTACAATTAAAAAGCCAGGGTTACAACTGCACTATTAAATGGAGAATTTAGAGAGAATTGGATTGGAACAAGGGGCCCATATCTTGGCCTGCTAGGTCCTGTGATGTGACTAACTCCTTTCGACATTTTTATGGGGGAAATTAAAAGGCCTTATAGATAAGGGAAGAACCATTGGGACGAGAGAAGAATTACAGAAAGCTACTAGGCAAGCTTTTTGACTTATTACACCAGTTCGCCTAATAAATTGTTGTAACTCTGTGCGCAAACGATGTTTATTGCGTATTCAACAAGTGGGTGCTCAGTTTGAACATCTTTGATGGTTTTTTTTAGAAAACTATATTCGTCACTCAAAAAATACTTTTTTTTAGTTTTATTCTTTGTTTATTGTATCAATTTCAATTCTAATTACTAATGCTAATATAGAATGTTAATTTACCTTTTCAAAAGTCTTTAATTATGCAGATAAATAATAATATAGAATACTAAATTGTGATAAAAAATAATTAGGCAAATAGATCAACACAAAATCAAGGCCCGCTTCGGTGTAAAGATGAAAAACCTAATATTTCTCTGGTTTTTCACACAAAACGTTTTCTCTACTAAAACAGACCAATTTCAACTACCCAGTACAGTATCTACATTGTCGACATTTACTTCATAGTCGACGGATTGTCGACGTGTCGAGGTAGACAGAAAGTTGACGCCCAACTCTATATTTTAATATTTTTGTACTAAAACTGATTGAATAATATCCATACAAATAGGTATATTCTTTTACTCTTTTTTATAAGAATCCCCCCTGAATATCCCTGTCATAGACTGATTTGACCTAGGTCTTCCAGAGAGCGGGAAAGTGGCGATTATGCCAGTTCCGACGTCCAGAGTGTCAGTTCGAGATTATCCACGCTTTCCATGGACACAAGCAGATCCGAGTTATTAGAGATGACAAGCATGATATCGCCTCAGTGTTACACGCAGCTCGATAACAACAGTAAACAGCGACATTTTAGGTAAATAATAGACATTTCAACAACACACAGAAAAATATTTTATATTTATAATTAATTAGATTTTTGTTCCAAAAAAGTTTCAATAAAATTATTTTTTTATTTAAAACACATGATTAAAATTTAAAAAAAACTCTTGATTTAAATCATGCCAAGCCTGTTTCCAACAAATCAGGGATCATTAAAATCAGTCCAGTCATTCTTAAATTATAAATGGTGTTACTAACACGACTGTTTTATTTATTTAGATTTTTTATTAATTTAGTAATTTACTAATTATTTAGTAGTAGGGATATCATTTATCAAGACAATACTTTGTATTTTAGTAGGCGCAGTCATAACTATCCGAGAAGTGAAGACGGCCTATCACCTAGTCAGAGTTCAGACTACGAAGACCAAGAAGAGTATAGCAACTGTAGTCAGCAACAAATAGCTACCGTCCATGTGGTAATATATTTCATTAGTATTTTATTTATAATAAACTTGTTATAAAATATATTCAATAATATTATAATATTTTCGAAGGGTAACAATTAAAGTAACTTTAGTATTCTCATTAATGTTTAGAATTAGAAAACGATGTAGTATTCGATGTATGGACTGGATTTATTTAAATGTTATGGGTTGTTATTACGGTGCTGTTTTATTAACATTAAAACTATAATATTAAAGTAATTCGTTTTTACTTTATTTTTAGTCAAGTGATGGAAGAACTGGAGTGTCCAGTTTGGTGGGAAAAGTTAGAGGTTTAAGAGAAGATGTCCAAAGGAAAATATCACGATTAAAAGGAGACGATCAACGAACCAATCATGAACAAACACACACTTTCTCAGCTAGTTCAGTGGAAAGTTTACCAAGTGGATCTGGCTCAAGTAAGTAATGTAAAATATTTTAGAGTTTCAATCACGTATTAATAAGAGAATAACATGGTTAACGAAACGCACGTCGAGTGTTCAATATATAGGGTTTTGGTGTTTAGTAACTATGTTTTTCCAGCTACAATAAGTGTGTTTTTGTATTATGAAGATTACACATCATATTTTTACACATTTTAAGATTACACACATTATTTACAGTGATTTAGTGTTTTGTTCAATAAATATACCGTGCTGGCAACTCTTACTTTTGAGTCGGTATTTACATGTGTGGTAAAGATTTTCACATTCTGTCTGCGAAGAAAATATAGCGAAAATATTAAGAAAGTGAAAACAGTTTGAAAAAAAATACAATCCATTATTTCTAAGGAATTTCGAGATATCGACTTTTGAATTCAGATTTCTAATAGCGTGACCACTGTCGAACACTAACTCAATTCCACATATTTTTACCAAAAGTGCATGGTTTCTAGCTTGCACTTAAAAATTTACAAGCTATATGGAAAATTACAACTACTAGTTAATAAATAAACAAATAAAGCATCACGAGACGTAATTTAATCGCAAAGTTGAACGCTTGGTATATACCATTCTCTAGACTTTTAAGTACTGATTGGGTCGACCAGTCGACCGCGACGAATCTGCTGTATACCCGTCCACGTCTCTTAGCTATGTGCATAGATTATCGCTTTATTTCATACGTTTGGCAACGTTTTTACTGTTCTCTCTTTGTTCAGTACTTTATAAACGCATTGTACTCTTTTTAAATACGGAAATCTCGACCCAAAACTAACTTTTGCTAGTCCTTAGTATACAAAAATGCTAACATGGAAGATACGAATATAGCATCTAGTGTTACATAGTGTCACAGAACATAATTATACATCCGTGGATATCCTGTATTTAGCATAATAGATGTAGATTAAGTTAAATTAATATTTCTTATTAATTATAGGAAGCACACCTTTTTTAAAATAAATATTGTATCTATACTGGATGGTCTTTTTTAGGTACGCAGGCGTTAGTGAGAGCTGGAAGTAACCACAGCTCTATATCAACAGAGGAAGTAGATCCTAGTCCCACAGATCAAATTATTGGTCGAGCCAGAGCAGTTATGGATCAAATACCAAGTTCGTACGATAAGGAAGCGTTAAAATTTAAGGTATACTTAAAAAATATACGTATTTTATTAAATTTTTAATTTTACATTCAAAAAATCTTAGCAAATTGCTATGATTACTCATTCCTACCTGGAGTAATTTTAGCTAGGTAACAAGCTCATTGCTATTGAAATATTTTAATCTGTGTGTAACGGGTGTTACATAGGTCTATTTGTTTTATTCATTCAATTTTCTTGTTATTCCAAGTATACATCGGTCTATCTATCTGCGACCTCTAAGGCCTCTTGCTTTTGTCCCCTTTCTATATCTGTACCCAGTCTTCTATTAATGTGGTCTGCATTGGGTTGTGTAGGTCCTTGATAGGATAGGAGCATAGTGCCTCTGTTTCTAGCTTTGCTTTCCTAAATAGGAAGTGTCGCTTTGATCCAGAGCCAACCTTGCATAACATATTATTTGCTCTGTTGTTCCAGGATCTATTTAGCAGAATCTGCAGCAAAGATTTCCTTGATACAGATTGAGCTTGATCGGGTGGCACTTTAAAGCCATCGGGTGGCACGCCAAAGCCTCTCTCATGAGATCTGTTGTAATCCGAACTATATTCTTGATGAGCATTAGCAGTTCATTTGCAGTTTTAGTATTAGCAATTTGGATGAATTCCTTGCTATGCTTGTGTCCCTGTCTGTTTCTCCAATGGATGGTTTGTTTTTTCCTGATCCAGAATTTTACTGCACTTACGGGTCATATAATACCAAAATATATGGCCCAATGCTGGTTGTGGAGCAAGGATTTCGATGGCTTTTCAAGAGCTTTAAAGTCTTTAATCGTCTGGTGTATATATTAGTATCACTCAGGTCAGGTCAACTGCCTATGATTAGACTTAATACTATTTATTTTAAATTTAACGCTATGTTTCTCTCTTCCAGGCTGGTGATATAATAGACATAGTTTCCATGAACGCGAGCGGACTTTGGCGAGGCATCTGCCACGGCAAAAAGGGCACTTTCAAGTTCAAACACGTCGAACTGTTGTCCGAGAGATCAGTAAAACCCAAACGCGAGCCTAAGTCATGGCACAGGGCCGTCAAGGGCAAACCTGTATCCGTGGAGGATTTACTCCATAAAATTGGTCTGCCGGATTACATATCCGTTTTCGTGCTGAACGGATACGAAGATTTGGAGCTGTTCAAGGAAATTGAACCTTCGGATATGGATTATTTGGGGATAGTGAACGCCGATCACAGGGCGAAGATTTTGACGGCGGTGCAGTTGCTGCATGAGTTGGATTGTAAGTAGAAAAATTAACAGTAAGATTATATTATAGATCATAAATTTAACAGATATTTGGTAGAGGAATCTTTATGCAGCTTTCTTTTTTTGAAAAAAAAAGCCAGTTTAGATTAATTTATAAAAAATGAAGGAGTATCTACTGGCAGAAGGAATGGATATGTTACTAGTGATTTTATTTTGTGAGGAAATTTGCTTGTTGGCCTGAAAGGTTTATGCTCAAAGAAACTGCATCCAAATAGGAATTTTCTTAACAAAAATTACTTTTTCTATTTCGCAGAGCTGATAGTGTGGTATACGAAAAAGCTATGAGGCAGAAATCTGTCGTTGGAAGTGAAGAAAATGAATTTGTCTTAATAGGTTCTTTTATAGAAAATCCAATATATCTACAAGTCATCGTAATATAAATCAAAGAACAACTTCTTCGTTTTTCTTGATAAAGTATTAAATCCTTACTTATTAAACTATTGTAGGTAAATTAAATAAAAGTAAACTGTTATAAATTTAAATAAAGTCCATAAATTAATGTCGACTTTGAAAATAGCTACTAACTGTCACTAGAAAATTGCCTTAGACACCAGCCGTCTTGATTCCCATTTTATTGAAAAATCGCTTTTTATTCAAAATCTTCAAGCCAAATCTTCGAACATTTAAATCTGCTCTTATGATAAATTCTTTATTTTATTCTTAAAAATCCAAAACTGAAATAAAACACCGGATGTCCCATAAGAAAAAATAAAACTTTAAAAATATAAACTAATGCTTATGATTAGAAAATATTTTTAAAACTCTCTTAAATTTTGGCATGGAATATTACATGTGCACAAAATTTGTTTAGAATTTCAACTACAATCCAAAAAGCCTAAAATATATAGGTGGTTTCTTTTACTTCAAGGGTGGTTCTATTTAGATAAGCAAATTTGTAGCTTGTTTTCTTCTGGTTAAATTGAAAACAGTTGGAAGTTGAGATCATTTAAAAAATAAAGAAAAGTTGAAAATTTCGATAATATAAAAATTCAGATTGGTAGTATCTAAATTAGATATAAATAAAACTTTAGTGTGGTTGTAAAAGAAATGTATAGCATTTTACAATTTTTTACATGTTTTCATACACTATTATTGAGATATATGTTGTTTGTCTTTATACAGCAGGTAGTGAGGGCGACATTGCAGGCTCGAGCAGCGAGAACGACGACCAGCGGCAACACCGCACCAACTTCGGCCGACGTCACTTTCCGCGCGATTCTGGTTGCTACGACGGCCACAAGAGGTCGCACATGTCGCCCCAATCCGACACCAGCGACCAAGCGGACAAGAACAACCTTGATTCGGTGGTGGAGCAGTGTAACAACGAAATATTAGCTAGGGTAGGTGCGTTATCTTTTTGGAATACCTTTCTAGAAATAAATTATGGGATTATATGTGATGTGTCATTGTACAGGGTGGTCTGAATTGTAATCGGGAAACTAACAACATATTTTACCGATAAATGTAAATAAAAAAGTTAATGTTCTAAAAGGCTTGGTTTTGGAGATACAGGGTGTGGAAGTTTCATTTTTATTTAGTTTTTTTCCAAATAATTTCTGAAATAAGGTCGATTTTGGATGAAAATTGGTGGTCAAGTTATTTTGCCACATAAAATTCAATTTCGTCGTAGGAGACGTCACCTTCATATTTTTTAAATGTTTTGAAGAGCTATAACTTTGCGTCCGTATTTGTATTAGATACACTACTGGAGTAGAAAATATAAATTTCCTTTTTTTACGTAAAAAAATTCTCTTGGTAAAAATTGTTACGAGTACCACTTTCCAAGATTTCTGGAATCGAAATAATCAATATATGTTATCACTGTCAAAAATTAAACATGTTGACTAGATGATATTACACTAAACTAATAAATTTTGGAATGTTCTTGTGTCAAAAATTCAACAGAAACTGATTTATTATAAACTTTAGCAATTTAAGGTTACGTTTTCAAATTTATAATTTCAGTCAAATAACTATCTAGTGAACATGTTTAATTTTTGTCAAAGACTTTTTTATTTTGTTTTCGTTTATATTCTGATAGTAAAGTATTAAATATTTGTTTTTTTTGAATACCAGAATTATTTAATAGTTTACTATAAGAATATAAACGAAAATAAAATAAAAAAGTCTTTGCCTTGACCTGGATTCGAACTCTGAATCATCGGTTCGTGGTCGGAAACTCTACGCACTGCGCTATGGAGACATGTTTGATTTATATCCAATACTTAGAATTTATAGGACTAAATTAATAAAAAATATAGGATCTTCTTCCGATGCGCAGTAGTGGGTATCAACAGCCAGACGGGCCGCATGCTGTTGCAGGGAGCATAGTAAAAGATATATTAAAGAGCCAGACGTCTTAAAATACTTTTCGCGAAAACGTTGCTAGCTCTTAGACTATTATCAACGCAATATAACTATATAAAAATGTTTCACATTTGTTGAAAACTCACAGTGCTCATTACTGCTCATACCAAGTTATTGTCTTATTTATGATCTTTATATTTTTTAAAAATGATAACATAAATTAACATATTTTATTTTTGTTTTAATGACGTCTGTAAAGAATAATGTAAGTGTAATTAAATACATTTTCAATCGCAAGTTAATAAAGAACTCCCAGTAGACTGCTTGTTACGTACCTATTTAGAACCCGTGAGTGATTTAGTAGTTTGGGTAGAATTCCTTGAGTTTTATCTTGGAGATAAGCATATAAAACTCAAGTATAAAGCAGTACTAGCACTATAAGATATGAAAATTACTAGTAAATTGTAAATTAGTATAAGTAAAAATGATTAGTTGATTGACAAGACCAATTAGAAAGAATATACCATGCTGGTAACTGTTACTTTTGGGTCGGTATTTACATGTGTGGAACTAAATCGCATCGGGATCTTATTAAGTCGGAGTGAGAGAAGTGCGACGGTGTGCTGTTGCGTTGTTGCCGGTACGCCTTTCTCTGTCAACTAAAGTAAAATCACTATCGCAAACCGCTTATTTTTAAGACTTTTTTTCGAAAAGGTAACTAGATAAAATCATTAGATATGTTTCTGAGCATCTGAAATGGAATTATAAGGATATCGTTAGTGCATAGCAGTTTTTAGCTATCGTGTAACTTTTTTATTTATAAAGATTTTTGCATACTGTCTGCGAAGAAAGTTTTTGAAAAACTACAATCAATTAATTATTTCTAATAGATTTCGAGATATCGATTTTTGAGTTCTAATAGCGCGACCACTGTCGAACACCAACTCAATTCCACTTATTTTTACCAAAAATGCAAGTGTTTCTAACTTCTAACTTACACTTAAAACTTTTCATTCAAGCTATAGGAAAAATTACAACGACTCGTTAATAAATAAACAAATAACGTATCACGAGACGTAATTAAATCGTGAAGCAGAACGCATGATGTACACCTTTCCCTAGAACTTTAAGTACTGACAGTGGTACTGATTGGGTCAACCGGTCGACTGCGACAAATCTGCTATATCTCCTTCCACGTCTCTTAGCAATGTGCACAGTTTCTCGGTTTATTTCATACGTTTGGCAACGCACTGTTTACTGTTCCCTCTTTGTTCAGTACATTATAAACGCATTGTACTCTTCTTACATACGGAAATCTCGAGCCAAGACTAACCTTTGTATTAACGACTAACCCTTAGTATTTAACATAAACATATCCTCCACTGTTATTAATATTTGCACATAATAAATAGAGACTAGATCGCCATAAGCTAATAGATTTGATTAGTGATGATGTTACTGCAATTTAAGTTTCCAAACCAAAAATATTTTCTAGGTGCGTCAAGCGCAAAAGAACCATTTAAACACCAAAGAAGACCTCGGCTACGAGATGAACATACCGCCTATGGTGCTGGAACGAAAAACGAAGGATTCCTATGTCACCATGCACGGTCAGACGTCCTTGGTCGATCCTTGCAGGCGCAATTTGCCGAGTAGGAAGAAAACCGTTGAGGATTTTTGCGAAACCGATCAAAAATTTTCGTCAGGTAAGATCAATCAAGAAAAGCATGGTTAAATAATTGATATAAATTCTTAACTAGTCAAAACGAATTAGGGATCACTTTGATAAATTTCGTTTAAACAAAGAAAATATATTTATTTAAACATAATATAAACTTAGCACTATGTTCCTTAGGAATTAAGTTTCAATGTAGTGTATGTGTCGCAGGCGTATCGAATAACTCGACATTTTGTAAAAAGACTAGGCATATTATAAAACGCCGCTGTTTTTAACAATAGAAAGATATTTTGCAAAGCGCCTACCTGTTTTCAGTCGTTTTACAAAATGCCCAATGAAGACTAGTCAGATTGCACAAAACATTTTACGCGGGATTAGTAAAACTAACTTAAATCTATCCAACGCCATTTCTTGAACTTCTCTTTCAAAATTACAAAATAATCGCACAAAAAGTGATAATTCTGTTAAATGGAGTATGGTTAAGAATAATTATTATAAAGATCAAAATTCATTTTATTCTAAAAGAATAAAAGTTCCAAAAAAAAAGAAAGCAAAAATCCACAAAGAGGCAGCTCTGTACACAGAATGAAATTACAAAGTATAGTAATTAAACGAGATATTAATATTAGGGTTTATAATTATAATTTATGAAAAAGGGTTCAAGTTGTTTTCGTCCAAACAAAATAAAATTTTGACATACATTATTGTTTTTGTATAGGACATGTTTTTGTTTGAACATTGAGTAATTTTATTAAAGCGTAAATTATTCAATATGCTTAGTAAATTTTGATCATTTTTATTCTATCCGGCCTCGATTTGACACTTTGTAAAACGACTGAAAACAGGCAGTTTTTTGCAGAAGTGTACAGAAAATATCGTCATTGCTTAATATGCCTAATTCTGATTAGGCTTTTTGCATTCATGTCTCTTCTAAATAACCAACCAAGATTTTCCTAGATATTTTCATTTACATGATTTGATATGAGTAGATCTTTATTATTTGATAAAACCTAGGTAAAACAACAAAATTTCTCAGAAATTTGCTGAAAATGCAAACTTATCCTACATCATAGAGAATTGAATGATTCTATTAGTTGCATTCTATTAGAATGCACACTGCATTCACCAATTGATAGAATACTTAAATGCTCCTGATTTTATCTAGTCTGGATTTTTTATAGGGATGTGTTTAAGACAGTGTTTACAAAACTCTATTGTCGACAACATGAGAGAAATTACTGTAGCTGCTTTTTGAGGTAGAACTCCACATATATCTTTTAAAATGAAAAGTTCCTTTTGAAAAACAATCATTTTATGCACTTAACAGGAAAGAACACATTTTGAGCATTTGATTTCATCTGACTAATTTTTGTCACATAATTATAGGTTTAATTTTGTTTTAATTATTACAGAATTAAACCTATAATTATATGTTTTAAACGTGTATGTTTCTATTACCGTTGATTATTTTACTCTACATTCTTTTATTTTTGTTAAATTAACAAAAGGTATATCACAACCACCTAGATTTTCTTAAATAATAAAGGTCTACTGACGCAAAATCATAAAAACTAAAATATCTAGGAAAACCTTTGTCTGAGGGGTAGGCAACCAATAATATTTTGAAGATATATAAATTCCCCATTGAACACCGGAATGATATACTGGGTGTTCCATTTAAAATAAAGGAGTAACTTGTTTTTAAAAGTGACTAATGTTCCATATTAATTTTATCTCACCCTGTATAACTTTTCGGGTCAAATTTCAATTTGGTTTAAGATACAATGGTTACTGTAATTAGATATCAGGCTATACAAGATCAACTAAAATTTAGTTAGCTGTTAACGAAATTTATAATTTACTCTTCATTTTTACAAAATGTGAAATATGTCAAAATCCTTAGATTTTAGGTATATGCTTCTTTAATAAAACTTACCTTTATTTCTTTCCTAGAATCCGAAAATCAATTAATATATAGGGTGTTCCATTTAAAAAACTCAACTTTGATGTGTAACTTTTTTTGGGGACATCCTGTGTAATTCTATATATTTTTATAAAATGCTTTCAGTTAATCTACATATGCTGCCAAAATTTCATTTCGATTTCAACTACAGTTCTCCTTGGAGCTTCCGCGGCATATGAGAGGCGTCACCCTGTATATGTGATTCCTAATTCGTTTTGATTAGTTTATATTCTGACTAAAAAATGTTATTAATTTTACTAATCATAGGTTTACATATAGCGAAAATTAACTTACTTTTTTATTTTAGTAAAATTTGTGGTTGGTTCTGAGCTCTCCGAACAGGGATCCCTCAACATCCTGGGCAAGAGTTGCCTGAGCGAAAAGTCAAGCGACAGCGGCGTGAGCAGCAGTTCTCTGTCTTCCACGCTGAAAGAGAGGGACAGCAGGTCGATGCAGTTCCAGCATCATCTAGATAGAAGCAATATTAGTGCCAACGTTACGTCCACTACTGCCAATAAGTAATGAGAAGTTAGGAAGAATGTTAGGAAAATACTTAAAAAAGACATTTACTGTCATGGTTTTGTTGGTTATATATGGCCGTAGAACGATTAGATTTTACCTAAAAGATATGTGAATCATTTTGACACATTCACAGAGTTACCCTGTGTTCCAAAAAAGTTCTCAGATTTTCTACACTGGCCAGCACAAAAAACAGGCATCTTAAATGTTATATTCAAGTTTACTATAGTTTGTTCTAATGGGCCGATATTGGTGCTAAACAATTTGTAGCTAAACTTGTTGACATTTTTCCTCTTTTTAAATAAAAATACAGTTTTCTGTAACTATTTGTAAAAATTTTCTCCAATATCAACATTTCGTTTTCCTCCTATAATAATATGAGGGAAAAGGAAATGTTTGTTGTAAAAATTTGAAACACCCTTTGGAATCCTTTAACAAAGCAAGAATTTCAAAAATAACTTTATCATTAAAGTGCATCTTTTCTTGATGGCTTGTTTTTTATTCATCATTGGCTTACTTTTTGTTGTAGATATTCGCCTTTGAAGAGAACACTAACGAATCTACAGCATTTTTAGCATTTGATGCAAGTCTTTGCTTTGAACTTTGTAAATTTTGTGCCAGTCAGGGTATTTATTTGTTTATCTTATACCGGGTGCGTCTTAAAAGTGGCTCACCTCTATAAGTTTTTTTAATTTTGCAAATAAAAAAACGACATTTAGTATGTTAGTATATGACATAAATTAGGATTGACTAACGTATTCAGTTATTTTTCCTCACTTCCTGTTTCACCGGAAATGACTATAACTTTTTATTTTTAAATGGCAATGGAAAAAGCATATGTTTACGAATAATTTGGTACCACACACTTGGTATTTCGAGTCAAATTGTCGTTATGAACCGCAATTTACAATTTTAAATAAACCATATGCGAAAATGTCATAAGTTGATATGTCATTCAATTCAGAGTGTCATTTTCTATGCAATAAAGTAGAAACATACCGAGGGTGCCATTTAAAAATCAAAAGTTCTAGTCATTTCCGGTGAAACAGGAAGTAGCCAAAAACAAATTAATACGTCAATTAATCCTAATGTATGTCATATACTAACAAACTAAATCTCGTTTTTTTGTCTAAAAAATAAAAAATATAGAGGTGAGTCACTTTTGGAATGTACCCTGTATATTTATAATATAACAAAAGAAAGATAATATTTTGTAATAATAAATATAAACTTAAAAAATAATAAATAAATTCTCCATTAATTAAACCTTTGGGTAAAATAATAAATTTTTGGTATTAGTTCTACTTCTCTAATATTTTTTATGTGATACAAGTACCGTATGATCGAAAAAAAGGCGGCCAGTTGGCTTGGAAATGACGATGGATACATTCCCCATATAATTTTACATATAAAATGAGATTGATCTTCATTTCATAACCATAGCTAACGTTGTTTTTTTTTCGATCATATTGTTCTAACTTAATTTAAATATAAAAATACATGAAATATTGTGTAATACACTGTATGAAAGGGAAAACCAACTTTATTTTAGGTAAAATCTAAACGTTTTGGGTGAGTTTGAAAGCAATTCTAAAAAAATTAAAAGATTAATAAATGTTTTAAACTAATGGTGATAGAAACTGAGATATAAAAGAAGAATCTATACTTAAATGTAAATTCATATCAGTTAAGAATATAATAATTAATAATAATATTAGTAATAGTATATGAAAATGACAGCGAAATGTTTAAAGATAAAGAGAAAATACCAAAATCGCTGGGTAGAAAATTAAATTTAAATTATCTTAATAATTTCTTTTTGTAAAGCTATTTTGAAGCTCAGTTCAAGTTTTGCTATAAAGAGTCCAGATTTTTTTTGTGTGATGGGACACAAGTGACAACTGATGGTTTGTTATAAATATTTGTTAAAATCATTAAAATCGCCATATAAAAATATAGTCAGCGATAAAGAGAGACATAATCTAGTAGAGCTTGAACTGAATAACTATGCCTACCGTAACGTAAACCGTGATATCGATTTTTTTTCGATCACAGTATATTTTTTTCTATTTTGTTGTTGAATTAATTCTAAAATTACAATCACTGCTAAGGATAAGACTGTATTTACTTATGTACAGAATTATTGAATTTTATCAAAATAAACTCAATTAAACAAGAAATTCTATATTGAAAATTGACATGTCATTAAAAGCAAAATATAACACTAAATAACCACAATAATTCTCATTAATTAAATCTTTGGGCAATATTATTGTTGTGATCTAGTGTTTTACTTTGCTGTTGTAACACCAAAAGTTCCAACCCCCAAATGCAAACGTCTTTAAAATATTTCTGTGTTAATGCTGTATTAGAGTACTAAGTACACATAATAAGAACTTAATCTAAACAAAATATATAGACTGTTTTGCAGGGTAGTTCTGTAAGATTTTGTAGGTTCATATTCGATAGGTGGCATTTTTTAAGAAGAAAATTTTATGTAACAAGGGTTTCAAAATCCCTGTATACCATATTATCGAAAAAAACTGGCTTAGAGATGGCTTGGAAATGAAGATCGCTGTCATTTTGTGTGTAAGATTATATGTGGAATGTGATTAATCCTCTTTTTCATTGCCATTAGACGTCGTTTTTTTCGATCATACGGTATTTTGTTAGACTATAAACAGCGTTGATTTTTCATTATTTTATCTAATTCTACAAACTTATGATAATACAATTTCAAGAAATCTTGACAAAAAATATTCTTCATAAAGAATGAAACAGAAAATGAACTATCCTGTATATTATATATCACCACTAAAGTCTGCCATACATTTAGAAGTTTATCAGGTATATCATCTCCAATATAAACTATATCCCAAAAGTATTTTTTGAAAAATATAACAAAATATTGACTTTACTCAATATTATATCAAGAATTTTATCTGTATACTATCCTTTATAAAAAGTAAATAATATTTTAAAAATGTATGATTAAAATAGGATCAAATGAATTTACAAAAGTTTATATCGAAAATTACATTTTTCAGATTTTTTTCAATGTTTTCTTTTTTCAAAGTTCTTGAAGTATTTTAAGTTTCAATTTTATTTATAATTTAATATATATTTCAGCTTTGTATACAAAATTCTACTCAGCGAATTAATAATAATATTTTACATATTTCATAGGATTTATATCTATGTTGTAATTCTGTAGAATAAGTGTAAATATCACTGTATATTGTAAAAAAAACATAACTTATTGCGGCTAGTCCATCGAACATTTAATTTAGTTCATTATAATTAATTAATCAAGTAATCAATAGTTATATCATTCATGATTTTGTTACATATTTTTCATTGTTTTGTATTGTGCTATTCACAACATGACTGAATATGATACACACTTTGTGTCCGGGTAGGATAGTTTACTATATCAGCTCTTTTACGCATACATTTACTTATTTTACTTTTAGATATCAGATAGCCCTGTTACTAATAAGATATTTTTTCTGTGTTTTAGTAAATATACAGGGTGGTCCGAACTGTATTCCGGAAACTTGGGCAGTATATTAATAAATAAAATTATAAACATAAGCAAAAAAATTTGTATAAATGTAGGTCCTAAAATGCTTTGTTTCGGAGATACAGGGCGTAGAAGTTTCATTTTTATTTCGATTTTTTCCAAATTATTTATGACGTAACGTCAATATTTTATTTGGATGAAAATTGGTGTCTGGGAGTCTTTTGATATGATTAATTTGGGGATTTTGATGTCAATATGACTCCTACTTGTAGAGGGCACCACCTACATATTTTTTAACTGGTTTGAACAGTAACAACTTTTTGTCCGTACCTGTATAAAACTAGTGATTAATAATATACATTTACAGCGCTTTCAGATGGAGCGGAGCGTCCGCGACGGACCGTCCGCGACTTCGAGCAAGTACCATGAGCGAGGTGTCTCACACTATTGGAATTACATGTACATTTTCTTGGCAGTCGCTGGCAGTCATTAGCAGTCTTATGGAGTCGCCTATAATAATTACATGGCAGTCATAGGCAGTCTTCTTCATAGTCATTGGCAGTCGCTTAGCACTGGAAGGATATTTTGGCAGTACGTGTACATTTTTTACCCGAGTGAGACACCCCTCGACCATGAGCTTATATGAACAATTTCACATGGGTCGCGTATGCTCCGTCCGGATGAGCTATCTTGACAAAACGGTCCGCTCCATCTGAAAGCGCTGTTACGACGTTTTTTACGTTTCTCTTGGTCAAAATCGCTACGAGTAATGGTTCTCGAGATATTTTAATAAAGACAATATATATTTATAATATATAATATATTAATAATTTAAAAAAATAAAAATTTCCCGAATTTATTATTTCAGTCAAATAACTATCCTACTCAACGTGTTTATTTTTGTCAATAATGACATGTATTGACTATTTCCATTCTAAATATCTTCAGAACGGTTACTTGCAGCAATTTTTACCAAGAGACATTTTTTACGTAAAAAGTTACGGTAAATGTATTTTTTTACTTAGTACTTTTGTACAGGTACTGACGAAAAGTTATTACCCTTCATAACAGTTAAAACAAATGTAGATGGTGCCACCTACAAATAGGAGTTATATTGACATCAAAATTAAATTTCTCATGTCAAAAAACTCCTAGATACCAATTTTAATCCAAATATTGACGTTACTTCAGAAATTATTTGGATAAAATCTAAATAAAAATGAAACTTCTACACCCTGTATCTCCGAAACTAAGCATTTTAGGACATACATTTATAAGAACTTTTTTACTTATTTTTATCTACAGAATATGCTGTCGAAGTTTCCGAAATATAGTTCGGACCACCCCGTATATTTATAACTTTTCATGAGCATTGTTATCATATGATTATCTAAAATCTTAATTTTCATGGCATTAGTAGAATAATATTTTGAATTGAATTAACACAGTACTATATGATCGAAAACCTTTACTTTATATACCAGTTGTTAAAACTATTTTTTTTTTAATATTAATGGTTCATATTGATATTACTAAAATGTTGGTAAAATAATAATAATAATAAAAATGGTAAAAGAAATTCAAATCTACTTTTATAAAATAATTTGTACTTTTTTTGATAAATGATATCTCGAGATCAGCTGAAGGGAGAAATAATCATCAATTTGTATTTCTAAGGCTACTACGACGCTGTTTGTTTTCGATCATAGCGTATTTGGTAATGTAACGTGCAAAAAGTATTTTAAAATTCGTAAAAGAACTGATAGACATCGAATCAATATAATTTGACTCTAAGTTTTTCTATAGGTAATAAAAAATCAAATTGTAAAATCCCAAATTCAAGAAATTGAAAATATATTTGTCGAAATTTGTTTTTGAGCTACCCTGTACGTAACTGAATTAAAAGCAATTCAGCTATTTTTAAAACTACCAGAAAAATCAAAGAGATTTCATAATAAACGTTTTTCTTTGTTTCTTTAATTAGCAAATATTAGATAAAAATATTTTATATCAATCTCTAACGTTTATTATGGAATCGGGAGTTATATCAAAAGTAAACTAAATCGCATAATAAATATAATATTAGAAAAAGAAAGCTAAATGTCAAAAAGTTAGAAGATTTATTAAATAAACCTAAAACTAAAGTTAATATTGTTTTCTTTAAACACCCTTTTGTT